TCTTTCTTTCTTTCTTTCTTTCTTTCTTTCTTTCTTTCTTTCCTTCCTTCAATAGAGTCTGTCTACATAGCCCTGGCTGTTCTAGAACTCAATATGTAGACCAGGCTAGCCTTGAATTAATACACACAGATCTGCCTGCCTCTACTACCACAACTGGCTGAGTTTAGAAAGTTTTACTATTGCTAAGTGTTTTGCAATGCCCATATTACATTATAAGATACTATCTAACCCAAAGTTTAAGAAGCTGTGGCCCACAGCTGTTAAGATGGCTCACTAGGTAAGCACCCAACCATGGCACACGTGATCTTCCCTTCACACATACATACAGTACTCAACAACAATAACAATAACAACAACAACAATAACAACAATAATAATCAAAATAAAATAAAAGCTGTGGCCTTCGCTACAGTCTCACTGCCTTGTGGAAAGGCAGGTACCTCAATGAGCTTGAAGGTGGACTAACACCTCTGGAGTAACTCTGGACACAGAGCAGGCGGTCTGGGAAGGCTTTTTAAAGAAGAGCCCACACTTACCCAGGGCCAGGCTTTGGAAGGGAAAGTAGCTCCAGGTGCTGAAGTGAAGGGCAGAGAGTTCTCTAAGCTAGCTTAGCCAGGTTTCTGGTACCATGGAAACCTGGTCTGTGAGATGATCCTTCTCTAGCAGATGCTGCTGCTGTTCTCACAGACAGGAAACAGAGGCTCTAAGATTAGATTGGTGATGTTCCCAAGGGCTATGCTGGAGTTCTGGGTGGCCGGAGGGCAGGTATTTTTGTTATTCTCCTGGCTCTGTTATCTCCACATTGCAGAGGCTCCCAAGGCTCCTGGCAGCTGGGGTCTGGGAGTTCTGCAAAGTTTAGTTCCTCTAATGACATAGGAGTTGAGAATTTAGTGAGGCAAAGGTGGACAGGCTGGGTAACTGCAGGCCACGAGGAAATGCAGGTTTCATTTTCATTATTGAATTCAGCCCTTTCCTAGGAGCTATAGGAGATATCTGAGACCCCAGAGGCAGCAGGGACTGTGGACATAGTTTAGACAATTTTGGTCAGTTCAGGGGCCAGGCTGGACCTCCAAGGGACAGCTGTGTGGGTTACATGTTTTGCAGAGGGGTCATGTGTTTTTACCACTGGCCCCTGCTGGTGAACTCTGGCTCTCCAGTTTCCACGTGAGCAGGTCACTGCAGGTCAGCATACCGGGAAAGTAGCTCCTCAAACCCCCACATCCAGAACAGCCAGTTCATCAGACATCACTTACCAGAACTTTCTGTCTTACAGATACTCCCATGTGATTTTTTTTTTAAGTTTTCCAAGCATTTATCTTAATTTGTCAGTTCTGGCAACTTAACAATTAAACTGTAATAGACTAAGTTCAAATTTAAGTTCACATTCATAAATATCTGCAAAAGGACAGAGCTACCTAAACACCCTATTCTGTGAGGGAATGATCGGAGCAAGCTTGTCTGTGGCCTTCATCTGTGGTCTTTGTAACAGCTAGCTGCATGGTAATTCTGTAATGCCCGAATGCTGTATTCTACACTCACAAACTTGTATAAGAAAGGAAGAAGAAGGGGCTATGGAGATGGCTCAGCGGGTTAGGTGCTCGCTGCACAAGCAGGAGGACCTATTAGCTCTCCAGCAGCCACATAAAATTTGGGTATGACAGCGTGCAATTGTCACGCCAATGCTGGGGACAAGGAGATAGGGATCTGGTTCTCTGCTGCCCACTGGCTGGCCAATCTAGCCGAAACAGGAAGCTCCAGGTTCCGTGAGAGAATGAGTGAAGAAACATCCCAAATCAACTTCTGGCCTTCACCCCCCCCCCCAGTCAGGGCACCCCCCCACACATGAGCACACATATGCATAAAACACACCACAACAGAAAGAAAAACGGAATTCAAAAGTCCAAGGCAAAAATAAGAAACATGCTAAGCATTGCCAGGGACAGCCGCAGGACATTAAATATTGGAAAGACAAAAACGTTTTGTGATTCTGTACACTCTGAATAAAGATGTACCCCACCCCCCACAGGCTCACATATTTAAATAAGTGGTCCCCAGTAGGGTGGAACTCTTTGGGAAGCGTTAGGGATATGGCCCCGTTGGAGGAGGTGTGCCGTTGGAGGTGGGGTTTGATGTTTCACAAGCCCACACCATTCCCAGTTAGCTCTCTCTGCCTCCTGCTTGTTGACTGAGATGTGAGCTCTCTGCTTCTGCTTCTGCTCCAGCACCATGCCTGCCTGCCCGCTGCCGTACTTCCCACCCTGATGGATATGTAGTCTTAACACTCTGGAACCAGAAGACCCAAATTAAATACTTTCTGTTATAAGTTTCCTTGCTCATGGTGGCTCTTCAGCAATAGAAAAGAAACTAAGACAAGTTCAGTGAATATTTTTATAGAACACCTCTTCAACACCCGCCAGCCACACAGTTTGGTGCTGAGTGGATGGTGACTGTTATTCTCTCACTGCTCTGAGTCTTTTGCTGTCAGGAAAGTCCTGAGGGGTCTTGTTGCAGCCACACCCTGGGATTCCTGACTATCTTCTGTGAGCTCACCATTGTCCTCTCGGGTCTTTTTCCAACCAGACAGCTCTTACTCAGAAGTGGGACTTCCTTCTCCCAGTCTCTCTCTCCCCTTTCACTTTTCTCCCTCTACAGATCCAGAGCCTCTGTTTCCTTCTCTCTGTGTGTAGAATCCCCCAAGGCTTCCTTCATGCAGCATACCCTGCCTCTCGCACCTCTGCTCACAAGTCTGTTGCTTTGTTCCTCTCTCTCCTCACCCCCTGTAGCCCAGGGAGGTCTGGAACTCTTGGTCTTGCTTTCCCAAATGTTGAGAATTCCGGTGTGCAGTGCCACACCCGGTTCTTTACTTCTGTTTAGTGTTCTAAATGTAAGCAGCTCCTGGTGATTAGTGGCTTATTGTAGCAGACAGACAGCTCTAGATTGTTACATTGTTCCAACCCTGGCTGTCTCTTAAACACCTGAACCCTGTCTCAGCCCCGCACCATAACAATTAAGGAAAAACAAACAAGCAAACCTTCTGGCTCTAACTCCTAACCAATAGGCTGTCTGCAACTGACCTGCTGGCAAAGAAAAAAAGAAAAAAAATCAATTTTTTCCAATGGGGTCTCGCCAGGTACATTAACCACTTTCCGGGACAGGCTCCAGGCCCAGGAGTATTTGGGCAACACAAAATGAACTTTATAATATTCTTGTAGACTTTTTGTCTCATTTTGCTTTTCTTGGCCATTTTTCTTGGCTGTTTTTTTCTCTTCAGTCTTTTGCTTGTTTATTTTATTCAATTTTGATTTTTGTGGTTTTGTGTGTGTATCTCTTATTTTTTATTGTGATTGTTTTGTTTTATCTGTATTGTTTTAATGGGAAACACACACATACAGAGAGAGAGAGAGAGAGAGAGAGAGAGAGAGAGAGAGAGAGAGAGAAAGAGAGAGAATATGAAGATGAAGGAAGGGACACTTACACTTTAACTCCATTGTTAGCAGTGAGTCCCAGCCTAGTACTGTACTGTTAGGGACCCGAGCCCTCAGACTATTTTCCTACTGGGACACTGGAATAATATAACCTATGTGAGGCAAGGTTGTGCTGTAGGCTGAATGACAGTGTGTCTGCCAAAAGCCCATGAGTAGAAACACTGAAGAGGTTAAGTATGGGGGCCATTGGCTATAGCAAGATGCACACAGATGCACATACATCAATCCCACAGCACATGAACATGCTCTGCATGCCTTAATATGTTTCTTACATAAATACATACATGTTTCATTAAAAGAAAGGAAATGGACTGCAGTGGCAACTTAGTATGTAGTACAAGCATAAAGACTGAGTTCAATACCCAGAACTCATGGAAAAGCTGGGTGTTGGTATATGCATGTAATCAAGTGCTGGGCCACAGGAGACAGGTGGGCACTATGGCCAGCCAGTCTAGCCTAATTGGTGAGTGCCAGGTCCTAGTGAGAAATCCTGCCTCAAAAACCAAGGTGTCTTGAGGAATGTCAAGCCTGTGTATTCACACACATAAGAATATATATACATGTACCCAAATAGTTTAAACTTTAAAACCTCTATAAAAGTGTATATGTGTATATGTGTGTGTGTATGCTTGTATGTGTGTATACATGCATGTTTCTGCATGTGCATGCGCATGTGTGTATACATGTGTGTGTCTGTGTGTGTTTATGCATGCTTGTATGTGTATATGCATGTATGTTTCTGTGCATATGTGCATGTGTGTGCATGAGCATATGTGTGTGTGTATGTGTGTATGTCTTTCTGTGTGTATACACAAACTCCATTACTAAGGAGGCATAAGGGGAAAGTGACAATTCTTCTTTCATTCATCCATCTTTCCCTCTCTCCCATGGCATTTATCATTAGCAACTTGGTTTAGAGTCTGCTCCACTCTCCTGAGCCCTATGTGTGTCACCCCACAGTATGTCACATTCATTTTTCAGCTGTCATGTGTTATTCTGACGTGGACACACCTCTATTAGGCTCATCTTGCCACACAGGTGATAGAGATAACCTGCGTGCTGTTTACTTGGAAATACACTGCTGTGTGCTCTGTGTTCGTCACACTGCGCCCTGACTGGCTGGAGTTTGGGTTCCTCCCGATTTCTTCTTTCATGTGGTTATCCAGTGAACACTTTTTTTCCGATTCCAATGTTTTAATGTGTCAGAGTTTGTGCTTTGTTTTGTTTTGTGGGGGTGGTTTGGTTTTTGTTTGTTTGCTTGTTTGTTTTGTTTGCTTGTTTGTTTGTTTTTTGCATTGGTCTCTAGCAGTGGGTTTGTTGGAGTAAAGAGAATAAGCATATAAGATGTTTGGAGGGCTGGGGAACGGTTTGCTGTTCCATCCTGAGGACAGATCTTAAGCTTGATGCCAAGAACCCATAAAAAGTAAGTCAGATGTGATGGTATGCACCTAATCCTTCCTTCCTTCCTTCCTTCCTTCCTATCTATCTATCTATCTATCTATCTATCTATCTATCTATCTATCTA